CAATTACAGTCTTATGTTTTGGGTCCCTGGGATGGAGGCTAAGCTGGGCAGAGTTTTGGGAGAAAACTGGAAGAGGAAACCCAAGCTTTGCTTCAGTTCCTCTGGGAGTTCCAGACCACCACCTGTTGGGGTAGTAAGTGTTTATGATTAGACAGACTGTGGTGGCATATTAAGCAAATGCTAAATTGGATGTTAGAAAACTCTGGTGTAGGCAAGTGGAGCAGAGAGGAAAATTACTAAGTAGTTAGGGAAGATGCCAGAAATGAGCTTTGAAGGGTAGGAATAATTTTGTTTTGTTTTGTTTTAAAGACCAGGGATCATCATGTAGCTCAGGCTGCCTCGAACTCTTGATCCTCCTGTCCTCAGCCTCCCAAGGGGGGAGTGGGATTACAGGCATGTTACCATACCTGTCTAGGAATAAAATTTTTTTAGAATGCTCTTCTGATTCCAAGTTTTTTTTAATTCGATGTTTTGGTTTTTTGAGAAAATAGTCAGCGGGTGTGGTCACTCATGCCTGTAATCACAGGTAGAGATCAGGAACCATAGATGAGGCCAGCCCAGGTAAAAAGTAGTGATACCTAATCTTTTTTTTTTTTTTTTTTTTTTTTGGCACTGAGGTTGGCCACCTTGAGGCCATTCCACCGTCCTTTTTGTGTGATGGTTTTTTTGAGATAGGGCCTCACAACTATTTGCCCTGACTGGCTTTTGAACTGTGATCTGGCAGTAGCTAGAATTATAAAGCATTAGCCACCGGTGCCCAGCATGAGACCCAATCTTAACAAACAAGCTGGTGTGGTGGTACACATGTTATTCCAGCTAACCCGTACAAAAAGCAAGACTTTTATCTAGAAATAACCAAAGTGAAAAGGGCTGGGGGTGTGATTCAACTGGTAGAGTGCTTGCCTAGCAAGTGCAAGTCCCTTAAATCAAACTTCAGTGTCAGCACCAAAAAAAAAAAACAAAAACAGGCATTACAAATCGCCACCCAGGAAGGTAAGGGAGGGGCCGGGGGAAGGGGGGGAGAAATGACCCAGACATTGTATGCACATGTGATAAAAAAGCAAACAAAAACAAAAAAACAAATCGCCACCTAGAGGTAGCCATTGTTAAGAGTCTATTTATTTTTCCTTTCATCTTTTTGCTGTTGCTTATACAGTAGACCCTTTTGGTATCAGCAGGTATTAGTTCCAAGGAGATTGCCATGAGGAAAAACCGTGAATGCTCAGTGTGAACAGAGTTCAGTGCTGTACTGCAGATGCTTGATGCTTGATTCATTTTTCCCCTAATACCTACAAGTTCTAATGACATACTACCTTTTCAACAAATCTAAAGTTTGCACTTATCACTTAAATTAAGCACATTAATGTTCACCTTTTTGTGGGCGGCATCATTTACTTTTTTGAGGCGTATTTTCACCAAAATTAAGGGGCAAGGAAATAGCAGATCACACAATGATTTAAACAACTGACGATGCAGGACTATGAGCTTTCTCTGCATCAACTGGCTGTGTAATGTGTGTGGGAATTTAAAAGTTTTGTTTTTGAAATGTCTTTTGATTGATTTAGTTTTTCATGTAACTTTGTCAAAACCATGCATAATTAAATCCAATAATAAGGCAAATTTGCTGTATATAAGTATCTTTAACAAATTTGGGATCTTTTATATACTCTCAGTTGCTACTTCATAGTCGTTTTTCTGTGTTTCTAAATTTATTCAGGGTATGAATTTTTTTCATCAAATGTTCTCCTGATAAGACATTTAGATTGGTTTTTCAGTGATAAAGACTTTAGAAGAGGTGGACAGATGTTTCATAAGGGAACAGAGGATTAGCAGGAGCTGGTTTCAGGGGAAATGTGCCTTAGGGTGATTAGGGGCAATTAAGAAGAGGAGCTGAAAGTAGCAGTTGAGGGCCAAGTGCCTGGTAAGTCTTCAGGTCCATTTCATGAGTTTGCTACCTTCACTCACATTCTCTATGCTGTTTTCACATTTCCTTCTGGATTTCTGGAAAAGGAGACATTGATGGTCTCACCTTCTCTTTAGGGACTCAGTCTTCTTGTAGAGACTGAGAGTGCACAAGCACATGCACCACACAGAGGGGAGTTTGCATAATGGCCCTTGGCAGTGTGGAGATTCTAGTGGGGAAAGTTTTGAATACTGACAGTGTTATGGATAGGAAGACTGTTCACTCTCCTTGGCTTTCTTCTCTTAAGTTGATGGTGAACCAGATTGACATTTATTTTTCAGATGTAAGCAGGGTTGTACGACTGGACTCTGGAGATGATTACTGTTGTCATCTAAAACTATGAACATAGCTACAGTGAGGTAGAACCAAGTTCTGAATGGTACAGGATTTGACACTAGAAACTGGTGCCTTCATTTTGTACCCAACAAGGAAGTAGAATATTCGGTGCCATTTTACAAGGCTGGCAGAAGAGCTTATTGAAGTCGAGGCCCATGGTTTAGATAGTAAAGATTTTTTTTTTTGTTTTTGTTTTTTTGGGAGGTTAGTACTGGAGTTTGAACTCAGAGCCTTGCACTTGCTGGGGAGGTGCTCTACCACTTGAGCCGCACTCCAGTCCTTTTTTTGCTTTACTTATTTTTCTGAATAGGTGTCAAGTTTTTGCTTTAAGGGCTATTCCCTGGACCACCATAATACCTATTGCCACTTCGTGTACCTGGGATTGCAGTTGTGTGCCACCGTGCCTGGCCTTATTGGTGGAGATGGGGACTCGGTACTTTTTGGCCAGACTGGCCCTTCAACCACCATCCTTCTGATTCTTCACCTCCTGAGTACTGGGATTATAGATGTGAATCACCACTGCCAGCCCTGGATAATAAAGTCTTTAAGGGGAAAAGAGCATGGGCTGCAGTAACAAGGGAGCACTTTCTAGAGACTATGGGAATGAAGTTGGGGTTTTGATTTTTTTTGGGTTGTGCTGGGGATCAAACCTAGTGCTTTGTGCATGCCAGGCAAATGCTCTACCACTGAACTGTATCCCCAGTGCTTGTTTTTTGTTTTTTTTTTCTTCCCCTCTGGTACTGGAGTTTTAACTCAGGGCTTCGAGCTTGTGAAAGCAGCTGCTTAGGCATGCTTCCAGCCCCAGAGTTGAGATAAGGTCCCACTGTGTAGTCCAGGCTGGCCTTGAATGCATGATCCTCCATCTCCAAAGTGCTGGGATTATAGGTGTAAACCCCTGAAGTTGGGCCTTGTGTTCTTTTCTTTATATTTTTTTGGTGGGGATTGTGGGATCAGAGTTTGAACTCAGGGCTTTGTGGTGCATGCAAAGCAGGCTCTCTACCACTGTGCCATTTTTTCTTTCGCTCTTTTGGAGATAGGGGTGAACTATTATTTGCCCAGACTGGCCTTGAACCACAGTCCTCCCAGTTTCAGCTTTCCAAGTAGCTTAGGATTACAGGCATGAGCACACTGGTGTCCTGGCTATGTTCTGTTTTTGAGACAAGGTCTAGCTAGGTTTCCAAGCTGGTCTCAAATTTGAATCCTCAAGTGAGTATTCCTGCTTCAACCCCCCAAGTAGCTGGGAGTATAGGCCTATATTTCCACACATGACTTAATTTTTGTTTTTTTTTTTTCCCTAAAGTGTTGGGGAATTCAAACCCAGGGCTTTATGCATGCAGGGCAAGTACTCTTCCCTGAACTACAACCCGCCCTGGCCCTGAAGTTGGGTTTTGAATAATCAATGAAAGAAAGTGGAAGAGGGCCCTACTTAGCATGCATAAGAACCTGGATTTGATCCCTAGCACGCCACGCCACGCCGCGCGCGCGCACACACACACACCACACACGGAAAGTACATTTCAATAGGGAGGAGCTCTGTTGAGTATATTAATTCACTTTTGCTATAACAGAATATCTGAAGAGAAACAGTTTAAAGGGAAAAGCTCCTGTAAACTCAGAGTTTCAGTCCATAATGGCAGGACGTTTGTAACAGACCAACTCACATCATGGTTCCCAGGAAGCAGAGAGAGACAGGGGCTAGGGACAAGATATAGACCCCAAGGGCAAGCCCCAATGACCTACTTCCTCCAGAGGTCCCACCTCCTGTAGTTTTCAGAAACCTCTCAAAGTAGCACCACCAGCTGGGAATCAAGCCTTTAGTACTTGAGCTTTTGCAGCAACACTTCATAGCCAAACCATAAGAGTGAACTTAAAAGCATATGGAAGTACATGTGGGGAATGAAGAGATGAATTAAGCTGAAGTGGTAAGGAAAAAAGGTAGAGCTATAAATATAAAATAAGGCCTGTCTTACTGACATTAGGTTCAGACTTAAGGCTATTCTCCTCTAATCCATTCCACATTCCAGTTCCACTTTTGAGGATTCTCTCTTTGCCTTTGTTTTTTTCCTAATGAATAAATTATTTTTTGCAGTATAGGGCCTTGTGCTTGCTAGGCATTCTCTCTACTACTTGAGTTATACCCCTAGCCCACTTTGCCTCTTTTTTGTGACATGTTCTCCTTTGGGTTTCAGGAGTGTAAGCGGCCCCTGAAGCCTTTGGCTTTTGAGCAGGCTACCCGGAATATACTCTGCAGAGCTTTGGCGAGATGGCTGACTCCTTTAAAGCTGACTACTTCAACATGCCTGTGCACGTAGGTGATGGAGGGCTAGGGTATTGCTGGGG